TTAATTTGTTTTTTTTATTGATTATCAACCTTTTGCAGGTTATTTTAAACCAGAAAATATTTTTAGATTATGCGAATAAATTTTGGAGATAATAATGATTTACTGATACAAGTCCTTACTTATTAACCTAGGAAGAAGAGTATATTTGCGTGTAAGGGAATATAGCGAACCCGACTGGGTCACCCATCTAGGTATGAACGTTGCTTAACTTTGGTGATCGTATAAAAATCGGTGTTTCAACGTAATATGGCCATAAGCCCATATCGTAGTTATCATATGGTAGCAAGTTTTTAATCAGAAATGTCAATCAAGAAATAAATGGTATTAACATAAAACAAGGTCAACATTGTCGATAACAATATCGACAATGGATTTTGCGTTGGTGTTTTCGTTTTAATAAAAATCACCTCAGTCATTTCGGCGCCGCCATCTTGGACAGATTGGCATTTTGCCTGTCGTCCATTTTGTCTTTATCAGCCGCAAAAGGTGTAATTGATATCAACACTAAGTTAGCGGGAGGAAATAAAGATTAACTAAATAAATAACTAAAATTTACCGTTGTTACACCCGGCCAGCGTTTAGCGCGTCACAGCGAAACAAATATATACCGGAACGAAACAAAGTTGTCAAGTCAAAATGCAAGGAAGCCGCCAGTCCCTGCACCAACTCAAACCCCTCCGACGAGCGGCAAGTATCAAGTTAATCAACGGACTAGATTTATTCATATTTGACTGAAGCTGGCAGCCATATCTTGTGCCGGTGTCCTTCGGGCAACCGGTTAAGGTTCGTTTAATCTTGCTTTTGTGTTACTTGTTGCTCCGTCAGCAAATGTCAAATGTGTTTCTTTCTTTTTTTTGTTTATTTATTCATTTATTTTTATTGTTTTGATGTATTAGGAAGTTGCCCCTAGTTTGTTTTTTTTATGATCGTCTTTCCTTCTAAAAAGATAAGGCATGGCATTCATTTTAATAATGGTCCGGTGCTCCTGCTTTATATTTAGAGATTCTTGATAAGAAGAATCAGCAATACTATTGGCCCTGAACTGGCATCTCGGTTTGAGTCACTTTCCGATCGCCATAATATAGCTCCTCTGTGTTTTTTCTATAAATACTTTCATGGTAATTGTTTGGATGAACTCTTCGCTATGATACCTAGGCTTTATGAATTTAATCGAAATTCTAGATTGACGGCGGGGTTTCATCATTTCACAAGTGAATTGGCTAGATGTAACCGTAAGTTCTATGCTAACAGTTTCTTCTTTCGCACTTCTCCCTTGGGGAACTCTCTTCCGGATTCATGCTTTCCTGCCAACTTTGATCCTTAAAAAATTAAATGCTATATCCACAGTTATCTACTCCCTTTTTTGATTACTCTTCTATTGTTCTCGCTACGTGATAATGTTTCTCCCTTTGCCTATTCTTTCACGATCAGTAAAACCCTTGCGTCTCAGTGGCTTTAATGCCTTACTTGGGATGAAATCGTTAATATATATATATATATATATATATATATATATATATATATATATATATATATATGAGTAGTCTGGCTGTTCGTTTCTAAAATATGAGATGCTGTAACCTGATACGTCGAAAACGACGAGAGAGTCTAGTGTATATATATATAAGTGAACATAGAAGTCAACACCCAGTCACATGCTATATGCAATCGTCAAGCCTGACGATTGCATCTAGCATGTGACGGACTATCGCCTCTGGGTGTTGACTTCTATGTTCACTTTTATATTTACACACGCTCTATCTCTGATATTGAGCACTTTATCCCATAAATATAGCACATCTTAAGACTATATTTCTTCACACATACATACATACATATATATATATATATATATATATATATATATATATATATATAAAATGTACATTGAAGTAAACATCCAGAGGAAAAATTCTCTAATGTGCAAATACCCTTGTGAAATATAATGGACATAGATAGAATAATAATAATATATTTAGAAATTCATGATAAAATGCAAAGGAGAATCAGCAATATTATTGGCCCTGACCTGGCGTCTCGGCTTCAGTCACTTTCCCATCGCCGTAATATAGCTGCCCTGTACCTTCTCCATGAATACTTGATCGTTATCTACTGTCTTTTTTATTACTCTTCTACGCTCTGTTCTCTCACCGTCTTACTTTGATCTTCGATATGTCCTTTGAGTATCAAAATATCCAAGCCTTCTTTTCATGGAAGTACTAGCCGTCTGTTTCTGATTCTAAGTAGATATTTCCTTATCGACAGAAAGGAAAAAAGCCAAGCAGAAAGAAAGAAAGAAAGAAAAGGAAGAAAGAATAAAAAAGGAAATGGATGGAGAAGTGAAAGAAAATACAACAAATTCGTTAAAAAAAAGATAAAGAGAAGTTGAGATAGAAAAGAAGTTCAGTTGAAGAGAAGTTCAAATTGGAATAAGTGAAAAAAAAAAAAGAAGAAGCTGGAAACGCGAAATTAAAAGAAATAAAAAAACAAAAAAAAAGGATTATGTAATTGAAAGAATGAGAGCGAACAAAAGAAGAGAGAAAGAGTAAAAAAGAAAGAGAAAGGAAAAATTATTAATAGAATAAAAGAAAATAAAAAAATAGTAAAACTAATAAGAAACACGAAAAAAAATATCAATAATGAAAGAACAAAAAAAAAATTAAAAGATGAAAAAAGACGAAAAATCCAAGATGTCAAACATAGAAAAAAATTGACTAGAAACAAAAGCTAAACGAACGCGTTTTGAGCATTTACAAGTAAAGAGAATAGATTATCAAGAAAAAAACGTTCAAATATAAAAAGACACACCGGATACAAAACAGAAAATATAAATGCAGAAAGAATAATAGAAAGCAAGAAACAAAAACTAAAGTCATTTAAAAGAAATCAGAGAGTTGGACATCCACTGAACTTATCTTCTGCTAGTAGATACAGGTCGCTTTTCGTTATCATGACTGGATAATGGTGATAATTTATGAGCATGCGCACAAGTTACAAATTTCACCATTTTACATGTCATGGCGACAAGAGCGACACGGAATTTTGATTGTCAGGTAATGTAATGTAGAGGAATAACGCTGAGATAAGGGAGAAGACAAGAATAGGGTGGATATATCTTATTCTGGCGAAAAGGAAAATGAGAAAGAAATAAATCAAAGCAAAGAAATTGGATAATGGGAGAAGGAAAAGAACCCAAAATCTATTAATTTTAAAAGCGACAAAGCCGATACCAAAAATAAAAGAAAAATATGTTTTGTTATGATTTTTTCTTTACCAAGAGGGAAAAGCTGTTTTTGGCAAAAAGCTTTTAAATTAAATGAAAAGTACTCGTGATAAAAAATTTAATCATATATATATATATATATATATAACTAAAATGAGAATTGTAAAAAAGAAAGCACCTAATATTTAATATAGTGATATTTATTTGTAATATATGAATTCTTACAGAGAAGAATTAAAACTTTGTTACTTAAAATTGAATTTTCAGTGTTTTTTTCTTAGAAAAATAATTTGTTTTCCTTTTTTTAAAACTTTTTTTTAGTTTAAATGATTTCGCTTAGCTTTTCAAAAAGGTTGAGCAAATAAAGAAACTGAAAATCAAGGGTCATAAATGGTTATATATGTCTTTTATGGTAAGGGTAATTTGGTAGTATCTGTGTATGTAATGTGTTAAGTATTGGCTTGAACTTGTTGATGAAAAATGCTTCCTCATTAATACCGCCTTTGTTCAGTGGTTCTGTAATCGCACTGGTAGAATGGGAAGACATTAAAATTTGGTAGTTTTGTCCTCCGCATTCCTATATGTGTTGGTAAAGTGGGTCCGTAATTTGTTGGCGATGAACTGTCATCCTTTGTCGGAGTGACTGGCCGATTTGGCCAATGTAATACTCGTGGCAACGCTTGCATGTAATTATGTATATTAAATTCTCTGAGTCACACTAGAAATCATTTTAAATTTTGATCCTTCTTTTAACTAAAATTCCTTGGCCCTCTAATAGGTGACTGCATACTCCAAAAAGGGGTCGGTTGCATTTTTTCACCTGATGGTCTTTGCGTTCTGTAGTTTTGCATTCGTCAGTATCTGTTTTAGTGATTTTGGTTGTCGTTTACTTTTTATGATTGGATATTTTTGTCATAGGCTTTTCATTTTTTGTCCTTTAGTAGGATTGTCAGATTTAGTTGTATGGGTGTGTAGATTTCTGTGTTCTATGGGTCGAAATTTGTCTGGCTCCTTAGGATTATCTTAGGTTTTGCTCTACTTCGTGTATTGAGCACTCCACGTAGTTGCCTTTTACCCGTTTTGGAGTTTTTTTTTCTTTGGCCTTTGAGCTTGAACTCTGGACGATTGTTTTTGCCTTAGTTTAATGTTCTTGGTTCTTTCTTTTTTTATTCCTCATTTCTCCTTGGGTACCGATTTGTTCTACTACAAGTCGAACTATCCAAGGTTTTTCCAAGAGTACCACCATTTATATATATATATATATATATATATATATATATATATATATATATATATATATATATACAGAGAGAGAGAGAGATCGTCAAAGAAAAGTGATAGCTAAGGTTTAAAATGAAAAATCTTTCTTGTAGCGTTTGGTTTAGTTGTTATTTCAATTTAATAGAATAAATTTAATATGTTCAGTAAACAAAATATTTTGCATTATTTCAAAACGAATTTAAATTGATTGGGATGCTTTTTTTTTAATTGCTAAAAGTCACTGATTGTAGTCATGCTTCCAATTCTTGCAGGACAATGTAATTCTCTTTATTAAGAAATCTTTCAAACATAAAATATAAAAACTTTCCTGAATCTATTTCATAAAGATTAACTGGTTTAAAGTTTAGTCCATCTGATTTGAAACAAATATTATTTACTTATAGTTTAAACTATCACAGAAAGGCATTCTTAACACGGTGCTGAGTATTCTATGGGGTGTTTACAGCTCTATTGATAGCCTGATGTTTTGAAAAGTTAACTACAGTGTAACCCGGATATAAGATAGTTGTCGGGACCGGAGAAGTAGTCTCTTATATCCGGGTTTCTCTTATATCCGGCTTTGGTCTATTTTATATACATTATTAACACAGGCTCTGATTTGGGACAAGAGAAAATCTCTCTTATATCCGGGTTTCTCTTATATCCGGGTCACACTGTATTTTTTTCTACAGGCGACATATACGTAAAGATTACTTAAGGAATATAACATTAGAGCCTTTATTTATATTTTTTAACCATCCAGTAATCTTACAAGTATAGAAAAACATTCTAAGTATTGTAATATTTTATTGAATTTTAGGTACTTTTGTTCTAAATTTAGTAGCGTTACCGCTTTTCTTTTCTGATAATGTCGTGTATGGACATCTGTATTTACAACAATCGGTACGTTTGTACACACAAACACACACACACAAAAATTCAAAATTCTTTTTAAAATATGTTCCAGAATTGTAGTAAGCCTGTTTAGTATTAGTAAATATAGTTTTTATTTCATAACAATATCATCTAACTGACACAAATTAATACATCTTTATAAATTATTCTAATTAAAATTCATAAAAAAGGAATAAAATTCTTGTAAAAATTCATTTTTCATCGAAAATAAATTATTTCTTAAAACAACAGTGTCCATAATATATTTTATTCTGTATCTGTCTATATTTCTGAGATGAGGTATTATTTACACTATTTACATTATTCGGACTATTGTCCTCATCTTTGTCGCCATATTTATCACAATGAGCACTGGTTAAAAAGGTTGTTGAAGACATTAGGTTTATAATACCCAATAATCCATACACAGATGTTCTCAAGAAATATACTCTTAAGGTGTGCTATATTTATGGAACAAAGTGCACAATATCAGAGATGGAGCGTGTGTAAATACAGAAGTGAACATTGAAGTCAACACGCTATTTCATGCTAGACGCAATCAGGTGGCCTGACGATTGCGTCTAGCATGAAACGGCCTGTTGCCTCTAAGTGTTGAGTTCAATGTTCACTTTATATATATATATATATATATATATATATATATATATATATATATATATATATATATATATATACGTCTGTCTTCTCGTTATCGATTACACAACATCACGCAAAAGATTCATCGGTGCCACGCCTGGATACGACTTTTAAGCCCGGCCAGTGATTTAAGACTAGCCACATGCACCACCTACTACCCCGCCCCGCCAATCTCGCCTAAAGACATTGTGCAATGCCTGTTGATGAAATTTTTAAATTTAAGAAAGACGGTGTAGAGGGTCAATCCCGTTCTCTGACCAACCCAAACAATGATACGAAGACATCAACATCACCAGTTGCTAGTGTGCTGCAATTATTACATTTGATTTTCCTTCTCCTAGGTAGATGTTCTAACAAGGACTAAGGGGTCTCCCCCCCCCAATGACTCGTATTGATGTCGATGAGTGACCTACATCTGGCGGATTCACTATTTGTCCATAGCTTGGACTGTAACAAGTACTACCACCTGGACTTGATGACAACGGCAATTAAGAGGTGGTTCCACGCCCACAAAAATGTCTAATCTCTCGACCAGAGGCCTTGCTGCTACAGGTAGCTTATCGTCAAACTAGGACATATATTAGGTAGCAAGAATATATAAATTATTTTATGCGTTGGTTGTTTTTGTTTCGCGGCGTATCAACATCTATATGGGTTATTTAATGCCGAAATCTAAATATGTTGTACGCATTTTTTTTTTTAGATAATAATAGTTTTAGCAATACAAATCTTACAAATTAACCCATAGCTGCAGGGAGAATATCTGGATTCTTACAATTATCTTTGCGCGTAAGTGAATATAACGAACACAATTGGAATTGAAACTCGGCTGTCAGATTAACAATTCCGAGGCATTATCCATTACACCACTCACACAACCAAACTCAAACTGACACCCATCTAGTTACCGACAAAGCTCAACATTGCTTAAATTTGGTAATCATATGAGAACCTGTGTTTCAGCATGATATAGCCGTAAACCCATACGGTAATTATATTATAATAATTATTTCATTTTAATCAATAATGTCAATAAATAAATCAATAGTTATAATAAAAAAACAACAATAATTCTTACATTGGTCACACTATCAACACACTTTCTCGTAGATTAACTTGTCATTTATCGAACTTTTGTGTACTTCCTGTATATTTCGATTATTCCATCAGAAAAGAAACCTTACATTCTTACGTTGGTTACACTACCAACACACTTTCTCCTAGATTAACTTGTCATTTATCGAAATTTAGTAGACTTCTTGTATATATCGATCATTGCATCACACAATCAAAATAAAACTATTAAAATTTGTTTCCAATAGTGACAACATTAAATTCTTGATCATGCAAAGTACATGTACAAAAACAGAACAAACATAAACTTTAGGCTGATCCACAATTTTGTTATGGATCTACAATAATTCATCTAAAAATTAGAAAAATACAAGAAAGAATTAGAAAATTGACCTTGTTGGCTGAATTTAATAGAGTTTATTTATATATTAAACAAAAATATTTTGTGTTGATCAATTAAAATGATCAACTTTTCCAAATAAGGCAATGAATGTAGCACAATCTCTTTACAGTTGAGACTTGAAGCAACAGGAACATTGTTCTACAGAAAAAAGGCTGAGAATACCATGAACTGGACATGTGAACAATGATGAAGTTTGAGAGAAAATGGAAACAAAAATGACCCTTATATTTAACTTTAGAAAGAAACAGATAAAATTTCCCAAGCACATAATGAAAGACATGAATTTTTTTTTTTTACTTTTGAATGGAAAGCAAGAGGAAATCAATGCATACCCTGTCTAACGAGCTTGGTAAATGGATGGCAAGAATCTACGAAAGACCAAATTTAGTAAGTGCTATAAAAGGCAGAAAATTGTGGAGATCCATGATCACAAACATCCCAAAGGTATATGAAATATAGAAAAAGATTTCTTCCTGGAATCAGTCTATTTTAAAACCTGTCACTTTTTGTTTTGGCTCTCTTTCAAACCTTTTCTCTTAATCAATTTTTTTATCGTTCTCTCTTGGATTACGGCCATATAGCGTTGAAGCATCCTGTCTCGTAAAATAACCGAATTTAAGCAATATAGAGCCTGGTCAGTATTTAGATGAGTTACCGCTTTGGAATGTAAGGTACTGGAAGCTTGGATGTGTGGAAAGTGTAATAAATAATGAGTCGGAATTTTTAATCGAAGAACTCAGTTCTAATTCCAGTTGAGTTTGTTATATTCAGTTAAGGAAATTCCGTCAGAAATTGTCCGAGTTGATTTCAGAAGAAAAAGTACAAGAAATATGGTTCAAGCTTGGACCATAATTCTTGTACTTTTCTTACCACTGATATTGAACTGTTTACCTCACTGGTCCAATCCAAATGGATTAACCAGTGAGCTCTACTTGCACGCTTCACAAAAGACACCATTGTCAATATTCCTTTCCCTTACTCACACTAATTCTTTCATTCTCCTGTTCTTTTTTACTTCTCTCTACTCTTTCTTTCTCACTGGCTTTCCCTTTCTCTTTATTTCTCCCTTTTTCCTCTCCCGTTCTTTATCTTAATCAGTTTCTTTCTTTTTTTCTCTCTTCTCGCCATTTCATAGGTTTCGTTCACGTCATCTCTCTCTCCCTCTTTTTCTCTGGCTTTTTTCTTGCCTTCTCTTTCTGTCTTTTCTCTTTCCATCTTACTTTCTCTCGTTCGTTTCTTTCGCTCTTTTCTTCTTTCTCTCGCAATCTCGTTATGTCTTTATCTTTCTCTCCCTGTTTTCCCACTTTTTCTATTTGCCCCTCTCTCTGTACTTGTACATTTACCTCCCCCCCTCTCTCTCTCTGATAGAATTACTGGAAAATGATTTGCAACAAATAATGTCATGTCACATGATTGGTGACCTAGAGTATTTTTTTTTTAACTTCATTTGCATATTGATAGGTTGTGTCTCGGACAGCTGCCATTTTTTGTGTCTGCTTCAAAAATTAAAATGGCGGGGGAGTTGATGCAAGCGACACCTGTTGGCGAGTAAATGTCATAAAATGGCTGGAAAAGAGTAATGAAGGAGATATTATTACTATTATTATTGTCATTGTTATTATTAAAACCTTTTCTCTATGTCATGTCTCTTCGGAACTTCACTGTTCATGTTTCACTACAGATTCCTTTTTCTTTCTATAGATTACTATAGTGGTTTCCTGTTGCCTTCTCCTCGGTTTAAAGTAGTCATTCTCAGACTGACTACCACCTGAAGCTAGAAAACCCAGTCTAACCCTCTATTTAACCAACAGCTGTGGATTAGAAGAGATTAATTGATTATTTTCCCAAGGGCATTAGTGCGATCAGACGAAATGGAACCGTTACGCTATTCACACCGCCATGCCCTTTCTTTTATTAATCGGATATGAAAGCAGTTCGAAATAAGAAATCACACAGCAATGTTCAAAACCACTCCATTTACGTGCAATTAAACTTGGGGAAGATATTAATTTATTCCTGGGTTAAATTGTAGGATTTGTATCTGAAATAATCATTGTTATCTAAAAAAAAGAAACTTAATGAAATATTCACTTGCAAAACAAATAATTATTCTTACAATACCAAATAGTTCGGCTTTAAATAACCAGATAGTGTTGAAAATGCGTAAAAAAAAAATCAATTTTCTACGGCTTATCAACCCTTTGCAAGTTATTTAAAAGCAGAAAATACTTTTAGATTGTAAGACTGTTTTTGAGAGAATAATGGTTTATTTGTATAAGTTTTACTAATTAACCCATAGCTAGGGTACAGAAGGGGTGGATTCATGCCTTTCCCAACGGTATTTGCGCGTAAGTGAATATAACGAAACCCAACTGGAATTAGAACCCGGCTCCCCGATTAACAATTCCAAGTACATTACACCATACGCACATCCACGCTTATAGCACCTGGTATACTCAAGCGGTCACCTATTTGGTAATGACCATGCACGAAGTTGCTTAACTTACGTGATCCTACAGGAACCAGTGCTTCAACGTGATGTGGCCGTAAGACAATTGGTATTCATTAATCAAATATTGACTCATCAAGTGTTTTAAAAGATGACGGAAAGTGCAACACCAAAATCGGAAGATATCTCGGAATAGCGAAAGATGCCTTCCAAAAGCTAAGCAAAGTATTAAGATACAGAAAAATTTCGTTACAAACAAAGAAAAGAGTTGTGAACAGGACAGTAAAGTCAGTCTTCCTATATGGCAGTGAATGCTGGACAATCTTCCCTTAAAGCAACAGGAGAAGGAAGCTGAGAATACCATGAACTGAACATGTGAGCAATAACGAAGTTTGAGAGAAAATTGAAACAAAAAGGACCCTTATACTTAACATCAAAAGCAGACAGGTGGAATTTCTGGAACACATTATGAGGAAAGACGACTTGGAATTTTTTTGCTTTTAAATGGAAAGCCAGAAGATCAGAGGAAAACAACGCATAACCTACCTAACAAGCTTGGTAAATGGATGTTAAAATCTACGAAAGACCAAATTTACTAAGAACTATAAAAGGCAGGGAATTATGGAGAGCCACGATCGCCAACGTCCCGAAGGTATATCACAGAGTAAAAGAAGAATTATTCCTGGAATGAATCTATATTTAAAAGCTTCTATCACTTTTTGTTTTGACCATCTCTCTCTATCAACGGTTTTTCTATCACTTTCGGCTGACGGCCATATAACATTGAAGCACCGGTTCTCGTAGGATCACCGAATTCAAGCCATATTGAGCCTGTTCAGTATCTAGATGAGTTACCGTTTGGGAATGCCAGGCACTATCAGCTTTGATGTGAGGGTCTTGGAATGGATAATGGGTTAGAATTTTTAATCGGATAGCTGAATTCTTAATCCTATTTGGATTCGTTGTATTCACTTACGAGAAAATACTTTCGGGAACGGTATAAATCCACCTCTTCTCCCCTTAGGTATGGATTAATTACCAAGACCTCTATTACTAAATCATTATTATCTCAAAAAATATTCTTACATTTTAAAAATACTTTCTGGCTTTAAATAACATGGAAAGGTTGATAGCCCGTAAAAAACAAATCAATCAGACAATATTGATTGATTTTTTTACGTATTTTCAGCTCTTTCTGGTTATTTTGGATTGTAAGAATAAATATATTTCATTAACAGTTTCTTTTTTTTAAATAATGATTATTTCAGACACAAGTCCTACTATTTAACCGTAGCTGGGAGGAAGAAATGGATTAATATATTCCTCAAATTTTATTCCACGTAAATGAATTGCATAAAAAAATGAAAGAATCAATCAATCATTCTCTTCTGTGTCCCAGCCATGCAACTACTAATAATCATTTGTCATAATCTAGTTTATCTATAGAATTTAACAAAATATGAGAGACAGGTACTACTATGTATCACCAAAAAGGGTTATTTAATTTGGTATTTTTTTTTAAACCTGGCAGCTTGGATTCTAAGAGGAAGTAGCAGGACTGACGTGAGAGGAACACATATCGCACTTTGGCTCAGCATCCTTCCGCAGGTGGTATTAGCAGGGCGCAAACCTTAGTGTGGGAAGCATATCGACGCTTCAGAATTGTTGAGAGCATCTGTTGAATTTTCACAGTTTTGGGACCCAAACAAAGCAATCCATCACAGTCAGAATGTTCCACCACAGAATCACTCCGGACAATCGCTGACCATTCTGGCTCTGGCCTTCGCATTCCTTAATTGCGGTACTATGAAAGGTGTCCCAGTTATTACATTAATAAAACCCGTTGGTAAAAAATAAGAAAATTTTCTAACTGAGGTAAGGTTGGCTCAGAAAGATTATAAGGAAACAAGGTGCATAAGGTATTAAGGTACTACTTTACGTCGACTGTAAAAACTAAGGAAAAAGTTTTTTATGCAAAATTTTCTACAAGGTGTGACATTTTCAGAATCCAAAAAAATATTGATAATTTTTTTTGATCATTTTAGAATCGTTAGTGAGCGCTGGACGATATCCTCAATGATGAAGAGGAGAACTGAAGCAACAAAAATTTGGTTCTACAAAAGGATGAACGACGAAGTTTTGGATAAAAAAGAAACAAAAAAACTGATGCTTAACACTAGGAAGAGACAATTGACGTTGCTGGCGTATATGAAGAAGGAGGGCTACGAAAATTTGATACTCACAAGACAAATAGAAAGCAAGATGAACAGAGAAAAAGAAAAAGACAAAATTTGCTAAGAACTACAAGGGACAGGAAGTTGTGGAGAACCATGTTCGACTACGTACTGAGGGGACATGCCATATAGAGAAGAACAACATGCAGTTCATAATATCGATACAATGTAAAATTGATCTATGAATTTTTACAGAGTAATCGCTACTTTTATTTACAAATTTCAAGTTTGAAAATGTCTTTCTGCATACAAAATGTCTATTTACGCTGTGCAAGCTATTAGCCATTATCTCAGTTTTTACTGGGTGCCTCACACGCTCGATATCACTCAGAAGATGATTTTAATATATTAATGTAGTCTATGAATTCACTTGCCCATTTGGAAACCGTTTCTCTAATAATAATAATAATAATGATGATAATAATTCAAATAGCACATACATTGGTTACGCAACCATTACATTATCGCACCGATTAACGTGCCACTTATCTGATAATAGTTCAATTAATTCGCTTGTTAGTTTGGTTTGTTTTGTTTTACGGCATATCAACCTCAATGGCTTATTTAATGCCGACAAGATTTTTATTACTGGTATTTTTTTTTTCAAAAATGTATTGCCGGTAATAATTTTTCTTCAAAAATTTATTGCTGGTAATAATTTTATACAAACTATTTCTGGTATTAAAACCTATTTTTACACTTTCATAGAGTTTTGACCCCAGTTTGGGGGTTAATTATTTGCCCATAGCTGGGACCCTAACAGGTGCTACCACTCCGGATCAGGGTGAACCTGGGAACACCAGCAATTAAGAGGTGATTCCATGCTCTTCAAAACCTCTTGGTTAGAGGCATTGTTATTGGACGTAGTACATCGTCTTACCCAGGACACGGATGTAGTTTATCGTCATACCCAGGACGGAAGTGAGCATGGTGTATTTGCAAACCTCAGCACATTCCTTCATCCACACCCAAAGACAAAACTCAGTTATCGACATCCTTCGAATGTACATGGGGAGATATAAGACTCTAAATACTGTATCACTTCGTAGATGCCATGCTACTTCGTGTAGCCACCGTTATTCAGGTGATATTTGGAGATAGACGTTATTTTTAATTTTTCTGCACTGGTGATTTTAGTTGTAGGATGCGTAAAGGTTTTTTTAAAATGAAATGTTCGTTCTTCAGAAACGATCCCAATCTCTGGAGCGCCACAATCGTTTTTACAGTTCTACGAAGATGCAACACAACGGGTAACCTTTTTTATTGTACAGTATGTGCTAGAAAGGAAGTAGAATTTACCACATATCTCACTGAGAAGCTCCACTTCTAGTTTGGAACCAGGGTCCGTCTCCTAGACTAGAGATTGCATTTCAGCCTACTATTTACCGAATAGGAATAAGTTGATTTAAGCCTTTCACAAAGGTGTTTGCGTGAAATAAACGCTAGAGGCCTCGTACGAAACTTGAATCTATTTCCCGATGTATAACAGCTATGCTATACCACACCTAACATGATATAACATGAAAGTGTTATCAATAATTATTTGTAGAAGAACCAGTTACTAGTAGTCTATGTAAGTGTCAAATGCTATTTTGTTGGACAAGTAGCAAGTTAGTTTACAGGATAAAGTAGTTGTTGTAGAGCCATTATTATGAATTCAGTGCATGTGCAACATAGGGGTTAACATCTCTCAGCGCGCGCATATATATATATATGTATGTATGTATGTATGTGTGTGTTTTGCGCTATAGAGATATACAAATATATTCGTTTTTATTATGAGAATGTGTGAATATTGGCAGAAATGTGCATATGCACATGCAAATACACTTGCCCTCTAACATAACTATATGCACAATTGTGTGCACTCATATGTAACTGCGTATCTACGTACATGCTAACAGCCATGTCAGAAATGGATCCTCATATAAATAGTGAAGGAAGTGTTCGGTCCTCATTCCATATCCTACACACGTTGTAAGTTACCTGGCTTGCTGTTCGTCCATCTTCTGGAAATCGATTTCCCGCTTTTTCATTCCCGCCACAGTTTTTTTAAGCACAGTCGCTCACATTCACAACCTCTGAAAGCCTAACATAACTCCATATATATATATATATATATATATATATATATATATAGCCAAAAAAATTAAAAAGATAAATTTACTAAAAGTAGTTAAAAAAAAAAATATATACCGAAGTCTTCCGAAAACAAACGAGTAAATCGATTTGAAATCCGACAGAGTCGTTATTTAGCCAATCAGGAGCGAAAAGTATCTTCATTAATAAGGGCGATATGTTGCCAGTCAAGAAGGAAGGAAAAAATGAATGAAGAAAGTAAAGAAGACTTGCAGAAAGAAAAAATGACAAGTCTATGCGAAAAAACGGGGTATCAAAGGAAGGGAGGAAGGAAAAAGAGTCAAGAAAAATACAAATATCGACTAAAAAAAAAAAAAGAAAGATAATGAAAAGAAAGACAGAAAAAAAAGAAAGACTGTACATAAACCGTAAAAATGATGAAGATGAAAGAAAATAAAAACGGAACGATAAAAAAGTATACAGTTTGCCAAAATGAAAAACAAGAAAGAATTAAAAGATACACATTTTTAAAGAAAAGAAAAAAGAAAAGAAAAAAAAGAAAAAAGAAAAGAAAAAAAGAAAGAAAAGAAAAAAGAAAATAAAAGAAAAGAAAAACAGAAAAGAAAAACAGAAAAGAAAAACAGAAAAGAAAAACAGAAAAGAAAAACAGAAAAGAAAAACAGAAAAGAAAAGAAAAACAGAAAAGAAAAGAAAAAAGCTTAATGCTACACAAAATCAAATCCCAAAAACTGATAGAAAAAAAGAACGATAGAATCAACTAATACAAGAATGAATGGATGAAAGAAAAACTAAGTGAAAGAAAGAACGAACGAGTGAATGAATGAAAGAAAAAAAGAAAGGGGGAAAAATTCAAATGAAAAGAAAAAAAAAACGAAAGAGAAGAAAAAAGAATCTAGGAAAGAAGTTAAGAAAACGAAAAAGGCAAAACGGACACATATAATGTAATAAAAAGAAAGAAGGAAAGAAAGAGAAAAAGACAAATAATAGGAAAAAATGAGGAGATAGAAAGAGATAAAAGAAAAGAGAAGACGAAAGAAAGTATGAATGAAAATAAAGGAAAAGAAGACTGAATTTTCCCTCAAGCTACAACATTGAACAGTATAATAAAAAAAATCAATCCTTCCTTCTTATCGATCTAATATTGATAAGCTTCCATACATGTTCTGAAACATTTCAACGGTAAATATCAGTATAAGGAGATGCGGGTGTTTTAGTTGTTGAGGGCATGTCGAATGATTCATGTTCAAATTCTGTTTACGACAATTAGTGACCATTTCACACTATTGCCTTTGTGAAAGGTACAAACCCACTTCTTCCTCGCCACCAAATCAGTTGGGTAGTTTAGCTTTAACTATGTAAATTAGTACAACCAGTTCATTAGATTAGCATACCGGCATCGCAAAAATTTACATATAACTGAAACCGCGAACGTGTGGAATTTGTAACGGCTATCGTGCGAGTTCAAATATATTTTCCTTGATATTATGGCAATTCAGACGAAAAGAAATCTGTGGAGAGCCATGATCGCTAGAGATGATTAAACCTTACAGTATTTACAATTCAATCAATTCTAAAAATAGAGTAAAAAAAACAAACAAAACAAAACAAACCTTAAAGTATTCGTATTTATCATCCAATCGCACTTCTATTCATTTCCCACACACGCTCTATCATTTGGCATATTTGAAACCTAAACTTAAACGCGTTTAAATGACCTCAAATAACGCGCATGATCGTGTGAATATATCACGTGACAGAAACACATTTTTAAACAAATGGGAACACCGCAAAATTCTTAATTGTCGAAGCCTAGCTGATCCCCTAACAAACCAAAGTACAAGCAGAGAAAAGGTATCTCGATATAGGCAAACCACAAGGATATTAAATTATTGCCTCTACTGTTCGGCCAGCTCATTCCTCTTGATGCCAACAACTGGAAGTTAAAAAATTTTACAATACTTCTACGAAAACTTTCACGTACCGATTCCCTTCTCCTCGAAAGAACATTATGTTGAATATTTAGATATATTAATTATAAGGTTTTTCAGCTGCAATTCAGATGAACTTGGTTCAGTTAGCGGTCTCAACTCCTCGACATGTTTCCAGTGTCTCATTTATAAAGACGATATCTCCTTGCCGTTGACAGTTACGTTTCTCCACCAAAAACGTGCAAGATGTGACCCGAAATAACAATTTGTCGTTGTACGTACTACCATCTATTTACTAACTTCCAGCATTCTAGAGGTTACTTTTTTAAAAAAAAAAACAGCGTTTACTACCTGAATGCGTACAGGATCAGGTGTTTCTAAGTGGTCTCTCCTGTAAGTACTAATAATCCGGGAATCGAACGAGAAAGGGTGCATTGATCAAAATTTAACCCTAAACCGCTCACACAAATACATACACATCTTCTCAATGTAATACGTGAGTATATATGTGATATAGATTGTTAGGAGGATTTGAGATAATTATAATTAGCTAATTCATCGAGTCTGATAGAAACCTCAACAGAATGCAGAAAGCACTGGAAGGCCGTTTCGTCCTATCTTTTGAATAATAAAAAAATTAAAATCTTTGGACACACTGGGTTGTAGATCAATATTCTTTCGTTTTTTTATTATTATTATTCCATTTAGATTCCTCGACTAGTTTCGACCAAAATGGCCATCATCGGGAGGAGAAATATTTCTGCTTGCTGTTAGCACTAAACTACAGAAATGAATATCTTGCTGGAGAAAATGAACTTTTGTCTGTAGTTTTCATTTGTTTTTTTATTTTTTTATCTTTTTAACATGAATTTTTAACATTCCTTGTATTTGTCAAACAGTCTCTTTTAAGTTGTTATTTGAGATAAGAGCTGGACGGATACATGTTGCTCTGAATTCTCTGGTCAGTTTGACAGTTTTATTGGACCTGGTGAGGGGATGTGTCTCTGTTTAGTGTTTGTGTGTGTGTTATTTGGTTCTTAGGGAGTGAGTGAGTATGATATGTGTAAGCGTGTGTATTGCTGTGGGTGGGTGTTATCATTTGGCTCATTAGGGAGTGAGTGAGTATGATGTGTGTAAGTGTGTATATATTCGTGTGGGTGTGTGTATAAATGTGAGGCCTCAATACCTCCGTAACCATGTCTGTCTCGTGTGGGTGAGAAATGTGGGTAGGTTTTGATTTGTTGAGTTATATATTAATACTATCTATATTGTTAAATTTATGGTTTAGCCCGGCTGGAAAGCGTGTTTTTAAACGTTGTATCCACTTATTTTCATGGGACTCTAAAATCTTTCTAATGTTATCTGCTCTGGAATTTTCTATTCTCTCAATTATAGTGAATTTGGCATGGGTTTTGAAATCATGTTTTTCCAGGCGGAAATGTTGTTCTACAGGTAATAATTTTTCATGAGGAGTCGACTTAATTCGATTGCGATAATTATTAATTCTGTAGTGAAAGGGCCATTCAGATTTTCCTACATATTGTTTCTGGCATAGTGTGCATTCTAGGAGGTAAATTATGTTATGACTTCTACAGTTAGAATCGTGGTAGATTTTGAAAGTAGATTTAGTGAGTGAGCTAGTGAATGAATTCGTGTTTTTAATATGGTTGCAACATAAACTTCTTTTGTTGTTACATGGTTGGGAAAATCCTGTTGTTTTTGTTCTTAGTTTATTACGGAATATATTAGTTTATATGTATATATATATTAGTTTTACTTAATTAGCTGTTATGTTTCACTTACTCTTCAAATGTTGAATGTATATTTTCTATTTTCTAATTTCTATTTTAACATCTTTACACTATATTAATATTTTCTTACAAATTGTCCTCTAATCTTTCCCCAACTCAGTCTTTCGGAAGTTATATCCATTTATCAGTGGAGTTGTAAAAAAATATTTCAAAATATCATATAAAAATCATTTTTTTTATTTCAATTATTTCGTTATCTCTTGAGATAAAGTACTATAATTACAATGGTGGCTTTTGCCAAACATCTAATCACCCAGAAATACCTTGGTTGACTTTTTTCCTTTCTTTTATTTATTTTCATTCAGAGACAGTCAGCAGCTGAAAAGGATGGATCAGCTGATAGCTCAGTACAGACGACAAAGAAGTAGTGACAGTGATGCGTACAAAGATCATGTCGTCTTTGATGACACTGGTGATTTTCATTTGATGCTGCAGTACCTCCTCTTGTTGTGGTTGTTGTTGTTATTTCTTTTACTACTTCCTTCTCTTATTTTCTTCTTCTTTTGTTCTTTTTCTTCTTCCTTCCCCGTTCTCTCCTCCTTCCTTCATTTTCTTCTACTTCTTTTTGTCCTTTTCTTCTTTTTCTCCTCCTCCTCTTCAGTTCTTCTTCTCCTCCTCCTCTTCTTCCGTTCTTCTTCTCTTCCTCTTCTTCTTCCGTTCTTCTTCTCCTCCTCCTCCTCTTCTTCCTTTCTTCTTCTCCTCCTCCTCCTCTTCTTCTTCTTCCGTTCTTCTTCTCCTCCTTCCGTTCTTCTTCTCCTCCTCTTCTTCTTCCGTTCTTCTTCTCCTCCTCCTCTTCTTCCGTTCTTCTTCTCCTCCTCCTCTTCTTCCGTTCTTCTCCTCTTTTTCCGTTCTTCTCCTCTTCTTCCGTTCTTCTCCTCTTCTTCCGTTCTTCTCCTTCTCCTCTTCTTCCGTTCTTCTCCTTCTCCTCTTCTTGCGTTCTCCTCCTCCTCAGTTCTTCTCTTCTTCCTCCTCCTCCGTTTTTCTCCTCCTCTTCAGCTATTCTCCTCCTCCTCCGTTTTTCTCCTCCTCTTCAGTTATTCTCCTCCTCCTCTTTTCTCTTCCTCCTCCTCTTTTTTTCCGTTCTTCTCCTCTTCTTCCGTTCTTCTCCCTCCTTCTTCAGTTCAGTTCTTCTCTTCTTCCTCCTCCTCCGTTTTTCTCCTCCTCCTCTTCTTCATCCTCCTGCTCTTCTCTTCCTCAGTTCTTCTCCTCCTCCTCCTCCTTAGTTCTCCCCCTTATCCTCTTCTTCCTACTCTTCAGTTCTTCTCCAGTTCTTTTTCTCCTCCGCTAAAGTCGAAGTACCAAAGAAGAAAGCTTTTATAGAAAAGGCTACATTAGGGATGAAGCAGAGATGCCAATAACGTTGCGGATTCTTTGTATTTTATCAAAAATCTCTAAATACGTTGCAGAAATCCCAAACCAGTTGTGGCAGCAATATGGACGAATGGTAGATTTGTAAATGTACAAGATAGATTCTAGCGCGAAAAATTGTCTCGAACTAAACAGTGAGACAACTTTATTAACAGCAGACCTAGCAATTGATCTAGTTTAATTTGTCAACTCTCATGTCAGCGGAAAACGATAGCCCGAGATGGCATAACGAGTCATTCTCATCATAGTCACCATCAGCTACGCTGTTGCAAGATAAATATAGTTCTCTCAGACGATTAAAAAGAGCCATTTCATTTTGGAAGTGATAAAATTAACAAACCATTTCTTGCCCCAGTTAACAACAGATTGTAGGCCATTTTTATAGATCAACTCCCAATTTGATTTTATGGAAAACAAAATCAGAGTTAATGAACAGGAGAAAGTTGTTGACGTTGTGAAAGTCATTGATGAAAAGTAGGAACAGACAGAGTCAGTGCAACAACTTTGTTTTTTTCTTTCTTTCTTTGTTACTTATCATTGATTTACTATTTCTTTTTTCTTTACTTCTGTTTTCTTTCTTGCTTTGTTTCATATTTTTAATTAATTTTCGTTAGGTTCATACTTTTCGTTCTTTTTTCCTTTGTCTTTTCTTTCTTTCTTATTTTTGCAGATTTACACCATGGTTGAGTGCCAAACAAAAACTGTATAATCGAAAAATCGAGGCTAAGCAGTCGAATATATATTGTCAGACAGCCGATAAACATCGACTTACAACAATTTGAGATAGAAAGTTATTCAGGCAGGGCGAAACGCGCCAAAATGAATCCCTATGTAAAAGAATGATTACTGCTTCTTCGTTTTACGTTATTTCGGGTAGCGAGGGAGGAATACGTTTACGATTATGTTTTGTCGTATTAGTGAGAAAGTATGTGAAAGGGGTGCTGAAAATTCTCGTTCCGAACTAATTCTAAAAATCAGTTTACTGGTGTTTACTCATTAAAATACTAATTTGGGAATTTTTCCACATCCTCTCGCACGAAATCGCTAAATTGTTTAAGTAATTATTTAAGTGATCATAAATTTTATTTCCGTGTGTTTGGAATTAAATATTTATCACATTCCCTTCTCTGTTAATGCACCTGATCAGTTAGGGTCAGCTTGGTATTCCCGGATTTCACAGAGAATCTGTGAAAGTTCCCAAACATTATTTACCTCGGCCTCCCCACTGAGGTGAGATGTGACACAAGGTCGGGTATACTGGGGGTCAAAGACAACAATTGCCCAGCCTCCGCAACCGTCGGTGGCATCGGCATGTCTATCGACCTGCCTCATTAGTGCAATGGGGGTTGCAGGCTCAGGCAACTCTACCCCACGATGTTTTTATTTTCCTCAGGTCCGCAGCCAGAGCCGCAACCGAGTCGCACTCTGCCCGAAGACAGAGACGCAACCGAGTCGACCTCTGCCCGAAGACAGAGACGCAACCGAGTCGACCTCTGCCCGAAGACAGAGACGCAACCGAGTCGACCTCTGCCCGAAGACAGAGACGCAACTAAATGATTATAAATCAACCCTGCGGCAGGCAGTGAAGTCACAAAAATATCAAAAATGTTTGTTCACACAGATGAGGAAGGGACTTGAGGGAACATTAATGTGGTTCTACAGAATTTTACTGAGAATACCATGGACAGGACATGTAACCAATGTGGATGCTTTACGGAAAACGGGAACAAAAATGATATTTATACATAAAATCAGAGACAGTTGAAATTTCTGTTACGATGAAAAGAGAAGGTTTGGAAAAGCTAACACTCTCACGGACATACTTAAGACAATTAAGACAGAGCTTACGATCATATCACGTTGAAACACCAATTCCCATACGATCACCGAATTTAAGCAACGTCGTGCCTGGTCAGAATGGTGACCTCATGGGAATACCAAGAGCTGTAAGCTTTTATGTGCAGTTTGTTTAATGGAAAAGGCACGGAATGTTTAATTGTTAAGCTATATTTTAGATTTTTTCTATTTTTAGATTGTAAGAATTCTTTTTCTTTTTTGGAGATAATAATGATTTAGTGATACAAGTTTTACTAATTAACCCATAGTTGGGAGAGAAGAGGTGGATTCATACCTTTCCAAAGGGGATTTGTGCGTAATTGAATATAACGAACCCAAATGAAATTAGAACGACTCTCCGATTTCTCATTCCGGGCCATTATCCATTGCACCACCCACACATCCACGCTTACAGAACTTAGTATTACCGAGCGGTTACCAATCTAGGTACTGACCAGTCTCAATATTGCTTAACTTCGGTGATCGGCCGAGAACCGGTGTTTCAACGTGATATGCCTTTATGTACATGGATAGCAGAACTTACTAAGTGCTAGAATGGCTAGGAAGTTGTGGAGACTCATGATTGTCCACCTCAAGAAGAGACACGGCAAATAGAATAAGAAGACACAAATACATGAAGACATGCTTACAAATACATACAAATTTACAGACAATAATTAAAGATACAAACATACACGTGTAAAATATGTTTAGGATTAAATTTCGATTAAGTCTTTTCGCGTTCTTTTCCGGACTTACAACAGGTGCCTTATATACCATTCGTATCTCCACCCATCTCCTGTCGGCAGCTGCGACAGACACATGCTATCTGTACGCAAATGAAGCGCGGAGCATCCAAGTTCATGGTCACATGACCTATAGACGAGATCTGACGTGCCTTGGCCTCTAGATCCATCAAAGCCTTTGGAAATGTCTTGTAATGATAGTGTTCATCTCGACCAAAACCGACATAAAAAATGTATGGAATGCAAGAAAAAGAAAAAAAATGAAACTTTTTTTTTTAAATTGGTGCCATTACGATAAATGGATCTGGACTCAATTCTACAGAAAGATCTTCCTTGGAATATTGGTTTGTTTATTTATTTTCTTTTTTTTCTTCGATTCGATTTTCTGTCTGTTAGTTTATTTAGATAATCACTACGCACACGGCTGAGCTAGGGAGGAAAATTTTAAAGATATTACTACTGAACCTCATCAATAATGTCCTTGTGTCAGACTAGGACAATATCGTTAATATTGTCTTATTTTTCCATTTTTATACATTTCCTCTTTTTTGTTTCTACAATCCGACACCTTTACTCACTGATGTATCAACTCCCATAAACCGGCAGTTCGGTACTGTTTTATTTCTTATCGTTTTTATTTTAATTTGTAAGATATTACTACCGAGCCTCATCAATATTATCCTTGTGTCAGACTAGGCTAATATCGTTAATATTGTCTTACTTTTCCATTTTTATACATTTCCTCTTTCTTTCTACAATCTGACACTTTTACTCAGTAGTCCGTCAACTCCCATGATCCGGCAGTTCGGTACAGTTTTATTTTTACGTTTCCGGTTTTATATTGCCTGAAACAATAAAAACCTTGTTTGGGAGTATTATTATACAGTACATACCTTATTATTTCCTCTTTAGACTCAAGACTCTCTATAGACCTTTTACCATATAGTAAGTACTTTTTGTTTAAACATTTCACCCTAAGCAAGGCAATAAAGCCACTAAGACACAATGTTGAAAGAATAAGAAAAAGGAGGAAGAGAAGAATAAAAGAAGTGGAAGCAAGAAGACACTAATTAACAAACTGTCCTTGGATTTATAGTTTTGAAAATCAAAGATGGCTGGAAAGCGAGATGGTGGAAGAGAGTTCCACAAGCAAGAGGTGTAAAAAGAGAAACTCTCAATAAAGAACTTATGGCATTTTGGTTTTAGGCGTTTCTCTAGCCCATGTATTGTATTAAACAATAAGAACAACTTTATTTGAAAACATTAAAGATTGTCTTATACCCTGTTTCAAGTTTTGTTCTTCCGTTGATTACAGCAAAATACAGGAATGAGCATCCAAGGTTAATTTTACATTGGGTTAATTTCTGAGATTCGGCACTATCTGTTCAAGAGTGCCGGATTAAAGAGGTCAGACTAGATATATTTGGTGTGAGGAATCCGCCCTCAAAGTTTGTAAAAATATTTTATATATATATATATATATATATATATATATATATATATATATATATATATATATATATATATATATATATTAGTCAAACCTAGAGAGCCAGACAAAACCTACCAAGGTTTCAGCTAAGCGGATCGTCAGGTCTGCCCTACTTTTGTATTGAGCACTATTTTAGGTAGTTGATCACTCGTATCGGTTTTTGTTCTTTGGGCTTTGGAGCTGTATGCTGTACGATTATTTTCGACAGACGTTCATGTTCCTAACTCTTTTTTTTTTAAAACCTTTTTTCCTCCGAGATTGATTTGACCATTAGCAAATCAAAAACCGAAGGTTTTCCGAGACGAGTGTAGTATATATATATATATATATATATATATATATATATATATATATATATATATATATATAATTATTCAAAACGTATTTATTTTTAAACAAAATCACCTTTGTCAATGCAACTAATTCAGTAGTAATCTCATTGATCGAACATAATGCGGTAATATATATATATATATATATATATATATATATATATATATATAGAGAGAGAGAGAGAGAGAGAGAGCTGACATTATGATATGAATATTTCATAAAAAGCTTCGGCTAACACAACACTGAATCAATCTAAGAAATCAATGCTTCACTTTCACATGTATATAATTGGATTTTGTATATATATATATATATATATATATATATATATATATCTGTGTGTATGAATGATGAAAGGAAGCAATAATATTTCTTTCGCGTTAACCGAAAATGGAACTCAATATGTGTTTTGAAGCAAATATTTTTCATTTAGGAATGATTGACATCAAATGAGGTTTTCTTGATAGGACAATAAATAATGAATAAATAAATAAATAAATAAAACCATGTAAGGAATAAAAGAAGAAAACAAAATGTCGGAAGATTGTTTCTTCTTCGGTCTTCTTTGTTGTTAATGTAAGTGCTATTGAGCAAACATCCACCGAACAACATGTCGTTCAAAGTATATTTACAGATATAATAAAGATCTTTTAAAAACTATCACAGTCTATTCATTATCTATCATATCTATCGCACCCTGTTCATATCTGTCACAGTCTATTCATATCTATCTTAAATCGTTCACCTATCTATGTTTCTATTTATCTGTCTTAAATCGTTCATCTGTCTGCCTTAAATCTTTCATCTGTCTGCCTTAAAATCGTTCATCATTCTATCTACCTTAAATCCTTCATCTATCTAAATCCTTTATTTTTTTATCTATCTTAAATTGTCCATCTGTCTGTGTATTTTCATACCTACAAATCTTTTTAAGGAGATTAAGGAATTTATGTGATTTTCCATGATTTTTTTTTTGGAAAGATAATTAATTTAATTTAATTTTTTAATTCAAAGCGATCTTGGCCCTCCACAGATAGCTATTCGTTATTATTTATGTATTGTCATAAGTTGTTGGTAAAGAAAAGATTGTTTTCCTCTTCCCTTATCCACAGATTTGAATTCAGAATTTTCTTTCTCCTAGACTGGATTCCACTCAAGACCAGAACAGACAGCCTACCCTAATCTTTAATCTAAAGCTAGGAGGGGACAGAATTTGGATTCATGCATTTCCAACATTCATTATTGCAGCAAAGAACGTAACAGAATTTGAACTCGGCTCGCCGATTCCACTTTTAGTGTCTATAACACTTGCACTTACATTCTATCTCTCTCTATTTTTCTTCATTTTCTTTTGTTGCTTTGCTAGTTCTCTTTACTTTCTTTTTTCTTCTTTCTTTCTTTTCTTTTACAAATTCCTTTCTTTCTTTTCTTTTACTAGTTTATTTTCTTTTACTAGTTCCTTTCTTTCTTTCTTTTACTAGTTTCTTTCTTTCTTTCACTAGTTTCTTTCTTTTCTTTCACCGTTTCTTTATTTCTTTCTTTCTTTTACTAGTTTTTTTTCTTTCTTTTTTCTCTGTGGCAAACTGTTTACTATTTCTCTGTAATTGTTTCTTCCAAAAAGTGTGGTTAGTTCTGCACAAGACTTCATCATTATAATCAAATCATATGTTCGAATAGTATGGCTCATAGGAGACCTGAACACCAAAGTAGACAGGGAGAGGGCAGAGGGATATAGCCGGAAAATTTGGACTAGGAACCCGCAACGAACGTGGTGAAAAATGGATCCAATGGCCAACTCATGGTTCCAAGAACACTCGAGACTTATGGATAAGGAGGAGCCCAGGAGGAGAAACTAAGAACCAAATCGACTACATAACTATCAAAAAAAGAACAAAAACCTATCCAAGTGCCGACTGCGGAAGTCATTATCGCCCTGTTATATGTAAATTAAGAGTGAAACTACGGAGACTGAAGAAGCCTAATGCCGCATCCAAATTGCAATACAATAACCTTCTGGGCGACCCGTACCTAAAAGTAAGATATATGGACAGTGTGAAAGGAAGATACGAGGAGACGAAACGGAAACACGAAATGGTACGTACTAAGAGAAGCTTTAGTAACATCAGCAAACGATATCATCCCTAAGAAGAATGGACGAATAATAAAAAAAAACAAAAAACAAAAAAAAAACGAATAGATGAGTGATGAGATTCTCGACATGATGCAAACTCTGCTAAGATACGAAACGGAATACTACAGAACGAAATAAAGACTAAATGCATGCAGACAGGCTAAAGAAGAGTGGCTAAATAAAGAATGTGCAGAAATAGAGAGTGAGTACCTCCAACAAAGGAGAGATGCATAAACAAATAAGGGAACTAACAGGACAGAAGACATGCTTGTCAATAGGCTGAATAAAATCAAGGGATGGGACACTCACATTAGAGAAGGAAAAAAACCACGACGAAAGAGAACAACCAGCAATACACAGAACTACCGACAGGCCTGAAATTCTAAAAACCTAAGTGGAAGCTGCACTGGTCAAATTGAACAGAAATAAAGTGGCAGGGCTTGACGGAATTGTAACAAAAATGTAACAGAAATGCTGTCAGATGATTTTGGTATAGACAAAATTACAGAAATAATAAAGGAAATCTACAATAGTAGTGATATACCGGAAGATCTCAGCAGATCTATCTTCATAACACTGCCTAAGAAACCAGGCACAAACGAATGTGAATTCCTCCGACCAGTCAGCCTTTTGAGCCATATAACAAAACTCGCATTTTGAGCGCGCAGCAGAATCAGGCCAAAGATAGGACAAGAAAAGTGCGGGTTCGTTAGACACCAGAAACAAAGAAAGCGATATCCATGCTCAGAATGTTACCAGAAAGAGTAATACAAATGTAGAGGGACGGGCACCTGTTTCGACAACGTACGCCA